CAAAAAATCATAATGATAACTTGTTCCAAGAACGTTAAAAAATAGACAGACGTAATGTCACTTGGTAATGATTGAAGCACCAAAATGTCAGTGGTGTATTTATGTGTGCGTGTTGCAACACCGTAATGAATAAAGTGTGATGACAGGCCATGTCACGCGACAGATGTCCTTTGCGTCAATGTGTGTGTATGCTGCGTGTAAGTCTATAGTAGCTAAGTGCCACAGTCGTTTCAAGAGACTGTGTCAGCCTTTTTTTGCGTCCTAGACTTGTTCTAGAAAAAGATGTATTAAATTACTCCGAGGTCGGCAACACACTCGTGATTTTTCTGGTGTTACCCTAGTACTTACGTAAAGTAAGGGCAATATTTAGCAACAGATGACTACAAAGCTTTATTGCTAATTACCTAGCAGCATTTTATTTAAAAAATAACTTTACCCAAACATTCGAAGGGTCCCACTTTATCACTAAACGATGACCAAATAATAAAAAATCAACCCTATATTTTGATATGCTACTATAGCCTACTATCACTACATACTTACTTCATCACTACATAGTATAAAACAAGTCGCTATCCGCCGTCTGTCTGTCCCTATGTATGCTTAAATCTTTAAAACTACGCAACGCATTTTGATCATGTTTTTTTAATACATATAGTGATTAAGGAAGGTTTATATGCATAATACATACATATTGCATCCGTGCGAGGCGGGTCGTATATAAGATAAATTATATAATTATGATATGGCTACAAAAATACCAAGTAACAAAACGTGAAAAAAAAATTTTATATCATCGACGAGTTTCAGCAAAATTACCCTCCCCAAGCGAAGTTAATTGAGTTAGAAGCAGACGCGTTCAACATTTCCACCACATTTTACGCTCCCTCCTAAGAGACTAATTATAAAATAATTTACAATACCGACACTGGATGGACTATGCCTCTTGCCTACATTTAGAAATTTTAAACGGAATCTAGGGAAATAGCTTAAAATATTCTGTATATAATCATATCATAACATACCATCACGCCTTTTATCCCCGAAGGGGTAGGCAGAGGTGTACATTATGCCACTGTACAATGTAACACCCACTTTTCACTATTTATGTTATGAGTCACATGTAATAGGGGGTGTGCCTATTGCCATATACCGGGCACAATTCCAGACTCCGTGCTACTACTGAGATGATTTTAAAAACCTAGTAATACTTTGCCCGACCCGGGAATCGAACCCGAGACACCTTGCCTACCTACACCTAGTCGCACTTGTGACCACTCGGCCAACGAGGCAGTCAAATAATATTATCTTCCTCACAATACAATTGTAGTCTAGTTACCACTAGAATTGACTATAAAGTGTCAAGTTCAACCCTGATGATACATTTAGATATACAAAATGTTTCTCATTTTTTTATTGTGAATCCTTTATTTATACATGTACCTATACAAATAACTAAAATTTTAGAGTGTAAAGTCTACATACGATACATATACCAAAATAACGCTCTTTACAATTTTTGTCTGTCTGTCTGTTTGTACCGGCTTATCTCTGAAATGGCTGGACGGGACTTTTATTAGCAAGATGCACTAAGGATTGTCATAGGCTACTTTTATATTAGAAAAACGCAGACGAAGTTGCGGGTACAGTTGAGACTTAAATAATTATTATCTACATTATTTTATGTATCTGTAGGCACGTCTTCAATTATATTGGAATTAATGACATTCAAACAAACTAACTTCGTCATACATAAATACACCTATAATATTACTACTTAAGAGAATATAACTTAGTTTTGTTGTACCTACGTATTAGCTCCTAATTATTTCTAAACCACTAAAGTCACATTCAGATCAATAAACCAATAATAAACTGACATACTACCCAACTGAACATCAGCAATCAAATCAAAAACAAAGAAAAGCAGCAAAAGTTGGCGCGGTGGCTGGGCAACTAGCTGCCGCGCAACGTGTCGCGGGTTCGATTCCCGTACGGAACAACTCTTTGTGTGATCCACAGATTATTGTTCTTGGTCTGGGTGTCATTTATATGTGATATTGTATGTTTGTAAACGCACCCACGATACAGGAGAAAAGTAGAGTGTGGCAACGTTTTTTTTAAAAAAAAAACAAAATACAATCTGACTTCAAAAAGCAAATCTCTAGACAACAAGTCAAAACAAAAATACTCCAAAACTTATTTGAAATTTTAATTTTCATTGTACAAAATCCCAATTTCCAATTACCGTCGTCCGTGTCGGTCAGGTTTTTACTAAAAACATAATAGGGCCTCCTTTCCAAATGTTTGGCTGCGAAAAAAGTTGAACTCGTTTATCATAGCGTTCGACGTCCGCGACGTACGTACGATTACCAAGATACAAAAGACTGGATGTGGCTTCATTGTAAGATTTTACAATACAAGGTACCTTTATTCGAAACGTCATGTGATGATGGTGATGATCATAATGTTACAGAGATTTTTTTTATATATTTATTGTCTTGTACTGAATAAACTAATTTTGAACCACCCTTTAACATAATAATAAACTTTTTTTTAAAGAAAAATATGAGAAGACTACACTTTATACCCTTTCTCAGGACATATACGACCAAAATTGTAAAAGTTATGATCATTAACCCCTCTTTTGTAGAACTAATCATTGACCTATTTGGTCAATCCGCCAACTGGACTCGACTATCAAACTTTAAATGCAGCATGAGGCTGAGGGTTTAGTACGAGGGTATTTGATGTTTAAAGTAATCGAAACGAAACCGTATCGGCGCTGTCATTGGTTGATTCAATAAAACCGGCCAATCAGAGCGCCTAAACCTCAGCGTCGCGATAAACAAACCAGTACCACTAACTAATGAGTCATACATAAGTGAATTGGATTGTTCGGTCACCATCCAATTCCGGTTGCGAAATGTAACCGGTAGTGAATCATCTATTTATGTTTGACCAGATATCTAAAAACAAGATCTAATTCTCCGAAAACCAAAATTAGGTGATTGTTATTGTTATGTCGAAATCTGCACAAAGGTAAATGAGAGGTCATAAAATTATGTTTAGAGATATGGCGTTTAGGAAAACGTATGATGTCATTATATGGCATCATGTTTATTGATATCGGAGGGTAAGGCAGTGCGTTAGTGTCATATTTCCAAAGTCAAAGTCGAAGCATTTATTTCAATTAAACCATAGTTTGGTACTTTTGAAACGTCAACAAATACAAAATAAATAATAGTCTGTCAGACAGTCCGTCAGTGAAACTAGGTGAAGCTAGGTGCTCATTCCAAAAAGTAGATTCGAATAGAGAAGAACGAGCAAGAAACTCCATTAATCTCATCTCACTCCATCTAAACTCCAAAAACTTTATATGATCCACAACGATGTGATCACTTCGCCTGGTCGGAGGATATTCTGTTTTCCTAACTAAAAGAACATCACACCCTGAATCCTAAAAATAAATATCATAATAACTTATATCTGCTCTTGTAATGTTTAGTATCAAATCAAAACTATAATTACCATTTTGCCACATCCAGTATTTGAACTCAGTAGCAGATTTTCACCGCGCTCCAGATTAGTAGCTGGCTTGAAACCGATTATTTGCGTTAATGTGCGCTCCGTGCGATTATCTACGATTGTTATCTCATAAAAATAAACCATCTACCTCTATAACTTTAATGAAACGAATGTTTTTGTAAAGCCTCGCGTTCACTAGGCAACAATTGACTTGCAACACCTGACACTCAACATGTTTGACACCGTTAACGACATTGGCAGCTGACCTGGAACATGACACGCGACCTGTTGTTTGTTTCGGTGGAACATAACGTAGCACATCAAAGCTAAATGCAGACATAACAACGAACAAGTATCACTCAAATTATTTCTAGGTCCTCTGGCTATATGTTGCGAGCGACATCATGAGGTATAGACAGACAACTCTTTGTTAGATAAATATTACGCGCTGTCAACATGTTGAGCAACATGTTATGTAGTGTTGCGTCGCCGATTCGCAGCTCGCGAGCGCCAGATGTGGACGTACCCTTAAATAAACCAATGTACACACATTCACTAGTAACATATAAAATTTAAACTTTACTGTATGTCAACACTATCTCAATGTTTTTTGACACTTGTCTAACAAAATTACCTTGATGATGTAACATTTGTAATGTGAAGAATTTTTTTGCCTCATTTTTATGTATTACGCGTTGTTGAAAAGGCAGAGTTTGTGGCTCGTTAGATAATTGTAATAAGATTAATGGAAAGTGTGTTCGGCGTAACGTCAGCTAATGATGATGAAGTTTAGGGATTTGTTGCTTTTGTTGGAACTTTTGCCATTATCCATTCACTTTGAGTTTTATATAAAAAATATAACATAAGATCACGCCTATTATCCCCGAAGGGGTAGGCAGAGGTACATATAGAAGTAACACCCACTTTTCGCTATTTATGTTATGAGTCCCACGTAATAGGTGAGTTAAATATATATAAAAATATATATAATAATAACAGGATACATATGAAAGCTAGATAATAAGTTCAGATACTATACATTTTTCGTAAAAATTACTCTTAGTATTACTTACAAATAACAAGGACTTTTATAAATTTTAGGTAATATGAAGGAGACCATTTTGCCATTAAAAACTAAGTTTAACAACCTTTCTGATATAATGTCCTAGTATAAATCAACCAGACGGCAATCATCCAAAATGCTTCATGAAAATAAATCTTCCTAAAACCTTAAAAATTAAGATCTTATCTTAAACTTACAAAAGAGGTAATAAAAATCTCTCCATTCCGCTAACAGCAAAATGTCTACAGCATTAAAAAGTAAACGCTAATAAACGCCACTAGCGCCACAGACAGTCGTTTCACAAAATTAATATCATTGGCGGTTGCTGGCTAGTAAAAAACAAGTAATACTTCAAACTCTAAAGCAAGATATTAATTCTTATTATTTCTTTTTCAGAATAAAATACAAAATGGGCAACGAAGAGAAAAAAGGCAGCATCGTGCTGGAGAACTTTAATTCTACGTAAGTACTTCCACTATTCATTTACATAAAGACTTCATTGTTATACCCTAAGGAAATATTGAATAACACAGGATTTTTACCACAGAACATATAAATTTTACTATGAGTATGTTTACAAATTACCTACAAACATTTTACACACAGTGAGATACTCACAAAGCTATTTGAAAAAGTTAGTCAGTGAACTAACTTTAAGTTGGTTGCGTATGCCGCTCATGAGACTCGGCTTGACTAAAATCTTGTCGTGTTACCTCGTCTATCTATCAATCTATCTTTCTATCTATCTGTCTATCTAGTTACTCACGTAACTAATTGACTAATTTTTTAAACTAACAAATTTTTTTTAAACCCAGTAAAACTTTGCACGACCGCGAAATCGAACCCGAGACCCTTTAATATAAGCAGTGACTATGGGACATACAATTGCTAAGATTCTAACATACCTCTTATGCAAGTAACAATTTTCACTATAACTATACATAGTTACAGATAGGTAATCTAAACTAGTATTATAGTTCCAACCTATTACTCTCTGTTAACTCCTTTGGGAAATACAAGGTTTAGGCTTCAGGCTTCAGGCTTTTCGCAATACCTACAGGGAAAATTTAATTTAAGTAGATCTAAAGTTAAGATCTAAGTTTAGATCTATTTCGGCTTGTATTGTAGGTAAAAATATTAAACTTCAGACTTCAGAAAAATTATAATTATGGCTCTTGGCTCCTTGTTATGTCTTCTCTGGAGAACGCCTACGTCTAAAAATTGAATTGTTCTACGAAACATACTTTATTACCTTTATTACCTTAAACGCCTCGGGGCCAATAAAACAATCCTCTACAAATCCTTTATCAAAGGAATCAATGTTTTTATTGCTTTCTAAAATCCCAGTGTGGTGGCATAGTCTACAATATACAAGGTGTTGTTTTAAAGCCACGTCATTTTCTAGGAGGTAACTCGGCTATCGATTCTGAGTCCGAATCAACAAAAAAAATTTTAGGTACATATTTTTCATTTTTCTGTAAATTACAGAAATCCGTAAGTGCGAACTACACGCCGCCGTCTTGTAACTAGCTTTATAACGCGGCTTAACACACACACACACACTCAAATACGTAATTGATATTATTCCTAATTCCATAAAACTCCAATAAGAAGCATTGCCTAAAGACTGTATAAATATTTGCACATCTATTTAGGTAATGATACAGTGCACTATATATCCACATGTAACATCTTTTATACCTGTATTATGCAAATAAATGATTTGATTGATTGATTGATTGATTGCTGTCGCTTTTTCTGAAATACTGTCCAACTTAAACGATTTATTATATCCGTATTTTTAACTATTGGCCTGAAATTTTCTCTTACATTGAACCTTTAGGACTTCTGTGACATGCCCCCGAGAAATGACACGGCTTCAAAACTACACCTTGTATATTGAACTTTGGCAAAAAATTCGCTTATCAATCAATATTAATCTAGTACACAGAACTAACTAATCTCATTATCATCATCACCAACAATCTATAAGTGACCACTGCTGTTCAAAGCCTCTTCTCACACAGATAAAGTTTGAGCATTAGTCACCACGCTTGCTCGTTGCTGGTTGGCAATTTCAAACTTATAATTAGAAATTATAAGTGCAGGTATACTCACGATGTTTTCCTTCACCGTTTGTCAGTGGTGTCTAACCTTTTATCTGTTGAAACACCGGCTCCCGGTATAAAACACATTATACCCGCAACTTTCAACATACAAGAGGCTAAATAATCTTAAAAAGTAGATATAACTCGGAAAAAACATCACATTGGTACTTGCCGTTGGTAGGTTTCGAACCGGCCAGGTTTCGATCAAGGGGCACGCACCTCCCCCTAGGAAAATGCCATAACAGGCGTTGCACCATGGGGGCTTCGTGGGCAGGTGTCTTTCAGAGGACAAGGTGCCCCTAACAGGTGTAGAGGGAGGCTACTGGAGTGGTTTTAGTAGGTACGAATCCCGCACTCTCTAGTCTTTCTCGCCTTTTGAAAGTTAACCGCGTCATAAAAAAAAAGGTTTTAAACTCATGCATGAGAAAGGCGCTTTACCTTCCAGGCCACCACGACATTACTACTCTACTCAATGCTAAAAGATTCACTAACAGAGTTAACAAAATTCATTCACTTCTAAATTAATTAACAGTTTCATTTCAAATTGCGCAAAGCAGTTCGAAAGATAGAAAAGATAGAGCAACACATAAAGTAATGACTAAGTTAATCTTTGAAAACATTCTATGTGGAGCCATTTTCTTTTTCAATTCCATTCGAATCTTGATAACTTAACTGTGTTTCTACATCTTTACATAAATGCGTTAAAAGTCCCATCCTTTTCTATCAAGATACTTAGAAATTGTATATAACGTAAAATCGCGCCTTTTATCCCCGAAGCTACTTCTTTAGCAGAGGTTCACATTATGCCACTGTAAAATAATTTTTTATCTCGTCTTTTAAACCTCCTCTGGACGAACTGATGAATGAACTGAACGAACATTTCAAGACCAAATATAGCCACATCGGTTTAGCTTTTCTCGAGTTTTAGCGAGACAATAAAATAAATAAATAATAAATAAAAATCATTTATTTCGGACATCTAAGAGATCCATAAGATTAATTAATATCTATATCATACATCATTAATACCATACCATCACAGTCATACAAAATTTAGTCAAATATCATAATTACATTAAAATCAGTCATACTTAAACTTAAAACACAAACGAACAGAAATTCATTTTTATTCATATATACATCGATAATCTTATAGTTAAATAGTAAATATTATCCCCAAAATAACAGCATAATTCTACATCGATCAATCATGTTATTCTATGCAGTATGCGATTAAGTTCTTAATTACAGAACTTACTTGAATATTCTATTCTGCATTGAACGTAAGAATGTGGATTATAAATGTTTGAAATGAATAATCATGATCGTGGTAGTGTCCCTTTTAATCCTCAAAGGGTTAAGCAGTTCATATAAGTATGAAGACTTAACACCCACTTTTCAATCTTCAAGTCTCATGTAATAGAGGGTGAGCATAGTATTCCTGAGTGACTTATTACTGAGAACAAAATTAAGGTACCACGGAATGTTCTAGAATAAGGCATCGTAAAGACAAATATTATTATATACCTCTAAATACTAAACTTTAACTTTATAACTATGTAAGTAGGTAGCAAAATTACTTATATATAAAACTGTCTTCAAAATGTTATCTTAAATTTAACTTGTTCTAGAAGTTATGTCAGAACTTTAAGATACACATTAGCTCATTTTAATCTAGGTTCTAAAGTGGTAATTTGAGAGCTAATTGTAACGCGACTTTGTTATCTTTTATCTAATAGATTAATTGACTGGATAAACTAGAAACTTTGAAGGTTATAGACCTGGAATATGTCGGTTCTATGTAGGTTAGGTTTGTATCTACAATTTTCAAAGTTTACTATACCTAGACTAGAAGAGATAACTAGAGAATCGTATTGTAAACTTCATTGATAAAGAGTAGCCTATAGAGTTTTTTGCTCGTTCTTCTCCATAGGAATCTACACCTTGGAATGAGCAAATAGCTTCACTTTTAAATTTTTAGTTGACGTTCAAAAGAGCCTTCCTGGTTAATTGAAATAAATGATTTTGATTTTGACTTTGACTTTACATTGAGTTCCGCACCTTTCCTTAAAGTTTCTTAGCTGATTGAGTTGAGTTTGGATTAATGTGTAGGTATTTATGTAGTTACTTGTTCACGAAGTTTAGACATGGTCTGGATAACCATCCAAAATTTATAAAAAAATTGTGTCTAATATTTTTTCATTATCTAACTGATGGACTAATTAGATTTTTAATTCTGATACCCTGGAAACTACCCAATTCGCTCAAAAATGGATATTGTACTTCGCTATTACATACGAAACATAAATAATATTTTCGGCATAATTCAAACGTAACACTTATTCATCACTTCACCTCAAAATTATACAAGAACTAAAATAACAAACAAACTGTCAAAGAACTTGAACTAACCAGAATTAAATTTTCCTTTCTTACAGAGCAAATTTAGCGACAAACCCAGGCTTCCAGTCAACACTAAGTTTAGGATCAAAAGAAGTGATTAATGAGAAGGCCTACAACCCATTTGAACATAGAAAAGTGGAGCACCCTAACTCGTAAGTAACACTGAACTAAAATTACTTTTCTTCTTAAGGGGGATACTTCAAGGTAGGTTGAGTAATCTTAACTTCTTCGCAATTACAGCTCAACATCAAATAGTTTAATGGTGAAATATACCTCGCAGCAGTGATATGTATGTACAATATTGGAATATGTATTAGAGCAATGTAAAACAGACTTTTTTTAAAAGAGTAACGAATGGAGTTTCTTGCTCGTTCTTCTCCACTCGAATCGACATTTTGGAACGAGCGCCTAGTTTCACTGACGGACAGACTGACAGACTATTATTTATTTCATATTTGTTGACATTTCAAAAGTACCAAATTATGGTTTAATTGAAATAAATGCTTTTGAGTTGAGTTTGAGTTTGAGTTGAGTTGAGTTGAGTTGAGTATGTGTTTACATAGTTATACTTGTTGACTGCAATGCGAGCGACACTGTGAGCTAGTCTAGTTAGACTGGCCACCATGATCGAAATCGATTGGAAGATTTAACTTATTGAAACCATCAAATCTAACTCGAATTGGGATGATGACGGGGTATGAAAATTAAAAATCTAATTAGTCCGTCAGTTAGGTAATAAAAAAATATAAGACACGTATTTTTCTATTTTGTGGGTGAACTCATCTAATTTCGTGACAAAGGCATTTGAGTAATAAAATACCAATAAATTATTAATTAATTTAATTCAGTCTCCGCATGAGTTTTAATCAGTCTTTTATGAGGAATATTAGCACAAATAATCAGATTTTTTTCTAGAAACCTAAGAGCTCTACCAAATTTACTAAACCGAATTATTAGGCGAGTCACAGAATTAGATGAGTTCACTATACTTATAATGAAATAATACTTAGATAAAACGAATCAAAGTTAAGGAGTGGGGGTTAAAACATCATTTCTACATAATTAGAATGTTCATAGAAGTGACGTCACGCGACATTTCAAATCGTCGAAAGTATATGTTTCTGTAAGAAAATAAAAAATACGTGTCTAATGATTTAAAACAATCTACCAGACGGACATTAAAATAAAATGTAGGCATCTACCATATTTTAACTGCAGAGAAACAGAACAATGACATGTTTTTACTAAAATGGTACATTTTACACCTTCTCTACCTCGGGCTACCTTAAAGTATCCCCCTTAAAAACCTTATTTGACGTCGTAATTTAGAGAGAATATTATTAGGAACAAAAATTGCTAACCGTTTGGAATACTAAACAAGTTTGTTAACAATTTGGGAAGTTATTAGTATGACTTTGAAAAGATGCCTAGATTTGAACTGGGTTCTAATACTTTTAATGGTGATTGATGGTTTTATTCATGTTATGGTCACAATTTTTGCAGTAGTCCTTATTTCCAGTACATAAGGGATATCTTCTATTGTCTCATTGATTAGGTTTAATCCCCAAATAACTAAATCAGAATTTGAGTTATCACGTAATTGCTGTAATTATGTCGAGTATATCAAATGAAATATAGCTGGCAGTTTTCTTTTTTATTTAATTTACTCGTTGAATATTTTTAATAATTTTATCCATGTGTTAATGCTATGTCTTTCAATGTAGTTAATCGCCACCTCTTTTCCAGAACAATTGGATCGTTGGTGCATCTACTAAAATCTTCACTAGGATCTGGTATCCTGGCTATGCCTGCTGCCTTCAAAAATGCAGGTTTAGCAGCCGGAGCGATTGGGACGCTAGTCGTCGGATTCATATGTACACATTGTGTTTATGTTTTGGTAAGATTGTTTTTATAATATATGTATGTTACTAGCGACCCGCCCCGGCTTTGCACGGGTGCAATATATTCTCGCGCGTTTCTCGTACACACGGGTAAATATTTTAATAGAAAGCGAATGAACTATTCTGTTCAATCAAATAATGAACAGGTTGCAACTTGAAAATATACGTCTCAGAAAAAATATCCAATCGGTGCGCGTTTCTCGTACACCCGTGTGTACAATTGCGCGATGGGCACTCAACTCTCTCGTACACCCGTGTGTACGAGAAGAGCATGTATTATGTATATAAACCTTCTTTAAGAATCGCTCTATCTATTAAAAAAACCGCATCAAAATCCGTTGCGTAGTTTTCAAGATCTAAACATACATAAGGACAGACAGACGGCGGATAACGACTTTGTTTTCTACTATTTTTGTATTATTACATTGTTACTAGTTAAATGGTTTCTAGATAAGTTAAGTCGATCCAATCGTTCTTGAATTACCCTTAACAACACATATATAGAGTCATTTTTTATTTATAGATCGATGTTTTTACTTTAATACTTATATATATAAGGCACTAGCTTCTGCCCGCGACTTCGTACGCGCAATCTCGTTTTCTCCGATTTTTTTCTGTCATAAGAATCTTCTCCTGACAATAACAAACACAATAAAAAAATTCAGCCAAATCTAGCCGTTCTCAAGTTATGGCGTGACAACGGGAAAAAGGTTTCATTTTTATAATTATATAGATGAGTATGATATGACGTCATGTGATGTTATGACATCATACCACAATTATGCAACTTTTATCCTATATATATACGGTATGGACACGATAGGTGGTATTATAAATAACTATTTTACTGATATTTTGGACCAGTTTCAAGACAGACATTTTAGCCAACTTTTGGTGAGGACAAGAGTCTCTTATGTGCCATAAATATAAGAGAAAAGTCCACAAAGCTGCCCAATCCAGAATGCTCAGTTCTAACTTTGTGCACAAACGATTTTTAACCTTATAGACAAAAAGTAATACTACAGGGGCAATCCGAATTTATTCTAAGGAATTGAAAAAGGTAAAATAATAATAAAACACTACTTTAGATTCTATAATTCAAAAGATGGCTTCCAACTAGACCTAATGGTCTTATTAAGATTACTAAAACATTGATTAAAAACTATTTTAAAGTATTGTTTTATTTAGGTACTTCTAGCTCTGATTTATAAATCAATCGAGTCAGTCATGTAGATAAATCGTTTGACTGCTTCTCTGAGAGACTTCCGAATTAATTTACATAAAATTACGATACAACATAAACCTACAAACTGCTTCGTGATTCTAATGTTTGCTAACACAATATACATATATATACATACATATTTTGATGATATTCCTTGGAAATAGGGAGAAGTACTTATACTACTTGATATACATTTGGCCAAATGTATTTAGAGGTAGATACCTAATAAATAAAAACAATTCTCAGTAGTAGCCCGGAGCCTGGAACTGCGCCCGGTATATGGTAATAGGCTCACCCCCTATTACATGGAACTCATAACGAAAATAGTGAAAAGTGGGTGTTACATTGTACAGTAGCATTAAGTGCCGTAATGTGCATAATGTGCAATGGATAAAAGGCGCGATGTGATGATGATGATAATTATGATATATTAAGATGTTAGACTTTTAGACTACCGGGGCTTCGGCTCGAAGTGCAGGAGAAGGAACGGGGTGGTTTTTAGTCAGTAAGAGTCTGACACTCCCTCCCGCCTCACCCAGGTGGGAGCAATCATTCGATGATTTTCCCCCCTTAAAAAAAGGCATATCATCACAAACTTTAGATCCCTTTATCGAGTATTTTAAAACTATATTGTCCAGTTCAGGTATCGAATGCAGTCGTGGCTCGATTAACGAAGCGTACCTATACTTAGATATAGTGGGCGGGAGCAGTCATTCGATGATTTTCGCCCCTTAAAAAAAAAAAAAAAATACTTAGATATAGTAACACGTATTATATTCGTTCTGAGTCTCATCTCTGCTGTCGACATTAAAAGAAACCTTGATTGAAGGCCAAGGTAACAGCTTAGCTATTCATCTCCTAACTGATTAGATCTTTTAATCAATTGCACCGTGACATCCGTGATTTATATTTTTGTTTATTGTTTCCGTATTATTTATTTGTTCAATGTTTATTGGAGTATTTTTTCTCTAAATCCAATTTATTTTTTATTCAGTTCACTCTTGAAATGTATTATTCAAGTCCTTGATTGTCTTAATCCTGAAATGATTTAAAGGCAGACGACGCCCTATTCTGTTTTAATAATAATGAAGCCAAAATTCATAATAATTAATTTAGTAACTATATCTCACGAAAATTTTAACATAAATAATAAAGTGTCATTTATGATGGATGATACTAATAAATATTTTTTAAAGTACGTATAAAACACCGACATCCCTCTTTTTTTAAAGTCGATTAATTAAAACACTATAACCTTCCCCTAAGTATAATAATCAATCGGTCAATCGCGGGATAATCACCCAAAAAATACATACATACAGCTAAAACTTCGAACCTCCTTTCTTTTTTTATTTAAGTCGGTTAAAATTTAATCACTATCCAAGTAAAAGTTGATGAAGAAACCAAAATAAATAATGTTGACTTCAAACTATGAATATATCATTTACTTATCCGCATCATCGCTTACCACCAGGCGAGATAGTGGTCAAACGTCAGACGTCGGCCCATATGCTATAACAAAAGAAATATGGTACCTTGATCAGTAGCAATAATTATTTCAAGCACTTTAAACCTATTATTTCCATCTTCAAATACCCCACAAGTTTCCCCCAAAGTCGCCATTATGTACTTTCAGAATTTGAATAAATTCCTTTGTTTCGAACTTAGCAAGTAATTTCTGAGGACAGTTAAATGAATCAAATGGTTTAAGCAACCATTCTTGCCTGCATTAAGATCCATTTCCGCATACCATTTTTGATTTGAAACCGTAACGTTCATTTTCATTATTATTTTAATGAATGGTACTTGATTACAGGCTGTTTCTACTGCCTAGATTGCTTTGTTGACTTCTAAGTTTTTTTTTATGGCATAACCCGTTAAACGAGCAGACGGATCACCTTATGGTAAGCAATCGGCGTCGCCCATGGATACCTGGAACACCAGAGGCGTTACAAGTGCGTTACCGGCCTTTTGGGGCATTAGGAGTTTGTGGATCGTTGGGGATTCAGGAATTGGGGAGATTGGGGAAAAGGGAGAGTAATTGGGACTCCGGTTACCTCACTCACACGACGAAACACAACGCAAGCTTTGCTTCACGTCGGTTTTCTGTGAGGCCGTGGTATCACTCCGGTCGAGCCGGCCCATTCGTGCCGAAGCATGGCTCTCCCACACTTGTGCGATGTAGGAAAGTCTAAAATTAAGCAAGAACCGAGCAGTGGGCAGGACGAGGACCATGACGTGTGGCATGACGAGTAATGTTGCCACACTATGCCTCTGGCTCCTTTCCTCGTTACTTCCCATACCACTCGTCGAGTGTGTGGCAGGCGCATTAGATTAATGTTATGTTGGTGGATTATTAAGCCCTCAAGCGTCCTTATGAGCACCCGGTAGATCATAAGAAAAAACGCTCCAAATGTCACGCGTGCACCCGTTGGATCATAAGGAACGCGGACGCTTGACGGGTTAAAATAGTCAGATTTATTTTACTTGGATTTATTACAATAATGCGCAGGGCACACGACGTGTACACACACCAGAGTATGACGGGTAGACAGCAGTGTTAATAACGAGTGTCCTACCTTATATACCTAACTCACTAATTAGTTATGTTGATACAGACTAAACATACATGTAACAATTAAGAATCGCACTCACATGACCACATGACCCATGAAACAGTCGTCTGGATTATCGTAAAGAAATTTTCTTGACTCATAACATCACGATTTTTATCCCCGTAGGATTACGCAGAGGTGCACATTGCGGCACTTAATGCCACCGTACAATGTAAGACCCACTTTTCACTATTTATGTTATGAGTCCCATGTAATAGGGGGTGAGCCAATTGCCATGTAACGGGCACAATTCTAGACTCCGTGCTACTACCGAGTTTTTCTTTAAGTAAAGAGTACTCTTCTCTTCTATTCTCTAAGCACTAAATATAAACCTTTATTTACAGGTTAAAACTTCCCAAGAAGTGTGTGTGGACGCTAAGAAGCCATCGATGGGCTTCGCAGAGACCTGTGGAGCAGCTTTCGAGTATGGACCTAAAAGATTACGGCCGTGGGCCAATTTCGCCAGGTAAATTATCTCATATGTTCTTTATCCCTTAATACGGAGAATGAAATATTATAATGAACGGTCTGTGCGCAAACTGTGTGGCAAGCAAACTGTGGGCAATAAGTGTGGGATAGGTTTTTGGATTTTAGATTTTCACTAGGACTTTGTCCTGTATCGTGGGTGCGTTTATAAACATAGAAATTCACCTACACCTCACACACAGATCCAAAACAACAATCTATGGATTACACAAAAAGTTGGCTCAGGCGGTAATCGAACTCGCGACACGTTGCACTGTAGCCAGTTGCCCAGCCTCTGCGCCAATCGTGACGTCAACGTTTTGTTAACACGTTAAACGCCACGGGGGTCACCGGTGACCGGCGTTAGCGGAGGATTTACCTTCAACAGTTTTTTATTGGCAGTCAAAGTCTTAAGAAATAAATTTTATTAATTTCAGAACTTTCGTGGACTACGCGATGACTTGTACATACCTAGCAGCGTTATGTGTCTACATTGTGTTTATAGCAGAAAACTTCAAAGAGGTAAGTTATATAATACTAGCTATTGCCCGCGACTTCGTCCACGTAGAATATCTATTTTAGAACATAATTTTTATGTTGTTTCATAACATAACATAACATCACGCCTTTTATTCCCGAAGGGGTAGGCAGAGGTGCACATTATACCACTGTACAATGTAACACCCACTTTTCACCATTTATGTTATGAGTCCCATGTAATAGGGGGTGAGCCTATTGCCATATACCGGGCACAATTCCAGACTCCGTGCTACTACTGAGAATTTTTTAAAAACCCAGTAATACTTAGCCCGACCCGGAAATCGAACCCGGGACCCCTTGCCCGGCAGTCGCACTTACGACCACTCGGCCAACGAGGCAGAGATTATGTAGTTTCAATTTTCAAAAATAATAGTAGTGTTAGTACATCAGCTAGCTACCAATAAAAGTCTCGCAAAATCGGTCCAGCTATTCCAAAGACAAGCCAATACAGACAGACAAACAAAAATTATAAAGAATTTTATTTTGGTATGTGTATCATATGTATTTAGTAAAAAGCAGTTATTTTAATATCACAAACAGTCACTCCAATTTTATTTATCTGTATAGATTTCATATCTCTAAATATAATCATCAAAAGGTGTACATTATTTACATATTTGGATGTTCCCTAATACAAAACCATCTGATTATAACAGGCTCTTGTTACGACCCTTAACTTTGGCCCTCCCACTTTGATCTTAGTCTTTTGGTATAAACAAACATAAAATATTCCTCAAGCAACTAAACGTTGATATTTATTGCAAAACTTTCCTAATATAGCTATAAAATTAATTAAATGAAAACCGAATTAATTAAGGTGTAATAATATTAATTTGTGACTAATAATTTTGCGAGCAATATTTTACAAGTTCATTCAAGTTGTGATTTTAATTTATTGCTCCCATAATTTTCATAGGCGCTTTGACTATTTTTTACACTTTGTGAATTTTAACTCGTCGAGTACCGGTTTTATAGACACAATCAAAGAACAATAGATCGCGGTCACCGGTGACCGCATGGTGTTTGACAGTTTAATACAATAATAACGACAAAACATATTTTTTGTTTTATTTTATTAAAGGTATTAAGGACAAGGTCAATTTACAAGAGATTTTAGTAGATATTAAGGGAGCTTTGTTAGTGAATACACCCTCATGGCAATTAAAATTTATACAAGGAAATTACACAAGTAATTTTGGAGTTTTGACGGAGTTCCTACAATGCGGGCCATAAGACCATCTAAATAGTAGAACATTCACGATAAAATAACACAAGGGTACATTTATTGACTGCCTCTTTGACATCCCTGAGTGGCAGGGATAGGCAAAGGTGCACATTACTGCACTTAATGCCACTACACAATGTAACACCCACTTTTCACTAGTTATGTTATGAGTCCCATGTAATAGGGTGAGCCTATTGCCATATACCGGGCACAATTCCAATCTCCATGCTACTATTGGGATTTTTTTTAAATCCCGTAGTACTTTGCTCGACCCTGGAATCAAATCCAAGACCCGAGACTCGGCCAACGAGGCAGCTCTCTGTCAAACATATTCATTAACATTACAAAATTGTTCAGTTTGTGATGCGAGAAGCTGGACACAGGACAAATTCGGAGAAATTGCAGAAGTAATGTTCCTTAACCGGCTTTAGTTGGCTTTTACGAAACTTACAGTAAAATAGGGGTGGTTTCACATGTATCCTAGTCTCAATACAGTATATGCTTATCATAGTATCTCTATTTTTTAGGTTCTAGACGAGTACATACCAGAATACAAGCTATCAGTGGAAGCATACTGTGCACTGACACTAGTCCCACTGGTGCTAATCTGCCAGATCAGGAACCTCAAGTGGCTTGTACACAAAGCACCGCTAATTAGTTGCAGCGCTACACATCGACACAACTGTCATTTACACAGTGTACATGTGTGCGTAATTTTATATAACTGTATATAAAAATATTCGTCCACCACGTTCACATTGGTATTTTCATTCTTGTGTCGGTATACGTATTTTTATAATTTAATGCATAGGTAAGGTTAAAACTATTTACAATCATTGATATGACCCGACATTTTCACTGTCATTATCGTAGTGCTCGTGGTCGATTGGTTAATGAGCACGCTTTTATCGTCTTTCAAGGATCAATGATGTGGGTTCTATTCCAGCTAAAAGTTAATTTTATTTTACCTTTTTATTTTTTTTTTTTTTTTTTTTTTTTGTCATAAAATATAAATATCAGGCTATAAAAGAAGCAAATGAGTTGGTAAATAAAACAATACTATTTTTTATTACAATTAATTAATTTATTATACAAATATGTTGTTTTATATTCAATATTTATATCTAATAATTAATTATATACCACATGTTAAGTTTAAAGTTCTTTAAATCATAATTAATAGATATGACAATAAACCTCATAGTCGAATCGGGAAATATCATGCGGTACAGCGTAATACGATGGCAGCAACATTTTTTATTAAGTAGGTAATAAACAAATATACAACATTCTTGTTTTGTAATTTAATAATATAATGTATTATTAAATTACAGTTTTACAGTAATAAACAAGTAAAACATGTAAAAAATTACACTGTCAACATAATATTTCTTGAAATGGGCGACTTTTTGTCGTTTGAACTTCCATTAACTCGTCGAGTACTGGTTTTATAGACACAATTAAAGAACAATAGGTCGCGGTCACCGGTGACCGCTTGGTGTTTGACAGTTTAATTATCTATTTTACGACGGTTGTTATAAGGTTCAATATTCAGTGGGCTGTATGATAGTAAAAAGAATGTGACGAATGCTATGGAACGATTTTAACTTTCATGACCTTTAGAATCAGGGAAACTTTAAATTAATTGAAGATGGGCGTAAATATAATATGTCAATCAAGTTCGAAAGCAGTTAAATAAATTTGTTAATGAAAAATTAAAGTGAAGTGAATAAACATGTTGAATAGAAAGAAATTATGACAATTTCTAACCACAAAACAATAACATCACTTCACCGTATGTTCTAGACAGCATTTTAATATTCTTAAAAAAATTAAACATTATTTTATGTTAATTTTAATAAAGGCAGAGTTTGACAGGCTCAATAATTGATTCCGAAATCAATACAATCACTGATCCTACAAGGCAGAAGGTTGCAATTCGTATACCTTTCTCCATCTTTTCTTCACAATATTTTACGCCCATCCTTATCCGACTTGAAAGTCTTTTCGTCGCTCAATATGATTACACTGTTCGCCCAATCAAAATTAATAAAGTCCTTAGCAAATTCTTAGCGCTTTTGCTGGTGAACCACAGATAACAATATTTTCTTCTCTGGCTTCCTGCACCTTAAACCAGAATGCAGGTGTCTCCGTACAGTTTGTATTAAAACATTCAGTGCTGTCGCTGTAGTGCGGGTTGGCAGGAACGGATCAGCCATGTGCCTGGCTACGATGTCGTAGTGCCGAGCCGATGAATTTGCCTTTGGTTTAGGCCCACGTCGACGATGTTTAACGTCACCGGTCTCCGCATATCTGTGCACCCATAACTGCATGGATCTCCTCTGTTGATACCAAACAAATAAGTATTTAAAATACCAGGAAATACTTTACAGGAATTAAAGTTACTTAAAAATAATAATAATATAAGTAAACACAATGTTAGAATAATAATTTATAATTAAGTAGTGGCGTAAGGAATAAAAATCCCTAACCAGATATGTTTTAAAGAAACACTCCTAACAAAAACAAGTCAAGTTACAATACAATTAATAATAAATTATTAATATATCTTTATAATATTGAACTTCATAATAAGTTGCAATAATTATTTTATTCTAGTGCAAAAATTGATAGGTGTGTCGAGTTACAAAATGAAATAAATATTATTTAGAATATCAACGTAGTATCTTATTTACTCACCGATATCATTAAACGCCTTGCTATTTCAGTTATTGTTAGTTATGTTTTGCTCATGCAAAACAATGGTTTCAGCCTTTTTAAATGTTGATAGGTGTTGGAACATCTTGTAAAAATAAAAAAACTTTGCACACGAATATAAGTAGTGTAGCAATAAACTATGAAATCCTCATAAATTGACAACTAAGAACGCAATTATTTTGTAAGTCGGGTGATTTGAAAAACATGTTTTAAATAGTCGGTAGTTACTTCATAAGCGTGTAAAATAAAATGACTCGAGATTTCTATGGTCGCCACAAACATTGCAAATATACTCAGGTATCGAACCATTAAGAAATCACAGTTAATTACTTTTTTACTGTTTTTATCTTATTTAAGTTGGTTGAAATGCATGAAGCAAATGAGATTATTCTAAATAATAAATAACTAGAACTAAAATATAAATAAAAGATATTATAGGTATAAATAAATCTAAAGTATTTACTATTAAAATTAACATAAGATTTAGAACAATAGGAAAGGAAAAAAAAGAAAAGATTTAATTGTTTCTAATTTCAAATTTCAAATATTTGATAAATTAATTCTAAAACAACATGTGAATGTTGGAATCGATCCGGCGGCACTTTACTTGACAATTGGAGGCGATAACCATTGCGCCAAGCGCGCTGTAGATGAGATCATCGAAATATTTTATATCATTCAGTAACATAAAATTACAATGAGAAAGCACTATATTTATATGGGTATTGTATAGCTCGATCGTTCATTATTTTTGATTTCGATTTATTCAAAGTTTGTTATGAGTAATTTTATCTTTACCCTCGTTTTTATTTAAACTTATTTACTAAATTATTGCGTATACCGACACAAAAATGATTTTTAAATACCAAGATGTGTGTGATAGACGAATGTTTCTATACATATCTATTGATATGAAATTACCCACACATGTATATTGTGTAAATGATAGTTGTGTCGATGTGTAGCGCCGCTAACTAATTAGCGGTGCTTTGTGTACCATTTTCGGCGATAGCCAACGTGTTCCTGGTGATTTGTTTCGCCATCACCATGTATTACATCTTCAGTGACTTGCCGAAGCCTGAGGGAAGGGTGGTGGTGGCTAGTGTGACGCAATGGCCTTTGTTTATCAGGTAAGTCGATTTGAATTCTTTTGTTTTTTTTATCTTTATTTAATTACAGGGTTTTTTCTTAAAAGAAAACGTCACCCCGATTATTGAGTACAAAAATAACAAAAAGAACACTTATACTTAGACTTACATTTAAGTTAACCTACCTCTTTTCGTTTATATTTGATTTTTGAGATGAAAACTACTCTATTCTCCAGGATAGTCTGAAACATTAATTATCGCTTACAGTGCTGTAATACCAAATATATGTTTATAAAAATTAAAAGATTATTCATTTATTTTTCTGCCTTATTATAACTACATAGTGTCATCTACATTTCTGACTTGTACTTAAAATTTTATGTCTAACTGTAAGCTGAAAATACATCGTCAAAACAAAACACAACATATTAAGTCATATCGCTTCTAATACATTAAACACAGTTTCAATTCAAGTCATGCACAAAACGTAATCATCGTTACTATTTAAAAGTCTAAAACAATTTACGCTAACGATGGGCCTGATTCCAATACTAAAAACTATTATAATTCTTCAAGTCTCGAAACTTTTAATTACAAATGGCTGACGGCTGAAATACAGTTATTAAAAAGATTTACTTAATGGGACGAGTCTCAACATTATGTTTTGAAAGTTAAAAACAAGAATTTCTCTAAACAATTTCTCTAATCAGTCTTCAAATTGAATCGTTTACTTCACACGCCTGTTGCTTGTAAAAAGTTTAAATAATAGTAATATTTTTAATGCTTGATTAGTACCATAAAAAATCTGATTAATCTCGAGTTTATACCACAATCTCGAGTATATAAACATAAAAAACCAAATTAATAAAGGAAAACCCTACAAATTAAACTTTTGCTTCAGCCAAAACCTTTAATCACCATTCACAACTGTAAGACCACTCGACAAACAAAGTAGTAATACAATAACCACAATGACCAAACTAAAATAAAAGTATGAAAACTATCTTCATCTCTTTCCAGCACAGTGATATTCGCAATGGAAGGTATTGGTGTGGTGATGCCAGTTGAGAACGAGATGGCGAAACCTCAACAGTTCCTCGGCTGTCCTGGAGTACTGAACGTGGCTATGACCATTGTTATCTCTCTGTATGGCATCGTTGGGTTCTTTGGTTACATGAAGTATGGAGACGATGTCAGAGGGAGTGTCACCTTGAATCTACCTCAGGATGAAGTGTGAGTAGTTTCTTTGTTTATATCTATCTTATTAAGAACAAAATTATCGCAACAATTTTCCATCTTAAATATGTTCGTCAGCATTGTCTTCTTCGAAGTCGTAACTGCATTTACATCTCAATCTCATATGCACATTATACACTGCACATCTTACCTAGCACAATAATTATTTGTGTATATTTTTAATCTTGACTTTATATGTCTTTACAGGCTCGCTCAAAGTGCTAAGATCCTGATGGCATTAGCAATCCTGTTCACCTACAGTCTACAGTTCTACGTACCCATGGAAATGATTTGGAGACAGCTAAATGAAAAGATCTCAGTGAGATACCACAACATCACACAAATCTCTATTAGGACCACTGCAGTTGTTGGTTCAGGTAAGAATGCTCTCCAGAAGACAAAGTCAAAGCCTTTCAAAATAATTGAAGCCAGTGATAAACCTAAATCATCCCTGGTTTTGAAGATATAAAACAATTCATCACCTTTAAAAAAATAAATATAAAATAAAATCTATTTTAATTTGATTAAAGTTATAAAACGTTAGGACACACAAATATAAGAAATCACAAAACAAAGCTCTCCCCTGAGATAAGAAGAATAATTGGGGAGTGAAAACTTTGAACGAATTACTGAGGGTGTTTTGACAACTTTTTTAATACGCACTTAAGATAGACGCTCAGAATAGTAACAACAAATTATTTATTTATAGAATCTAATTAGTTTAAATTACACGTACTAAGTTTATCCTAACATCTTAAACTGCTGTATTATCTTTTTCACAACCAACAGCCTGTACATTTTCTTTGTTTTGAAATTTAATATTCTTTTGTTTCTTTTCACAGTTGCCCTCGCAGCAGCTTTCCCTGACTTGGAGCTGTTCATCAACTTGAGTGGTGCCATCTTCCTCTCAACACTCGGTCTCCTCACACCAGCGGTCATCGACACTGTCCATAAATGGGACAGAGGTCTTGGACCCTTCAAATGGATTCTCTGGAAGAACTTGTTCATTGCCATGATTTCTCTCATCGCCCTCTTTGCTGGTTCTTACACGTCCATCAGGAGTATGGTTGACAAGTTCTATAGTACTCCTGTCCTGGAAGTAGTAGCTAATGTAACAAGCATTACAATGAATGATACTATGACCGTGTGATTGATTATAAAAGGTCTAATTTAGGTGACTTTGAATATGTAGATTAAAAATCTTTAGGCAAGTTTAAGAGACAGTTAATTATGCTAAACAAGCTTAAATGTTTAGATTTTCATTGAATTCAATTGAGTCACTTCTATTAACATTCTGTCTTGGCTGTCACAGGCGAATTAATGTGCCTTGAAGTTAATGCTAAAAGTATCTAGATTTTTAATCATCTTTCGTATAAATGGAAACTCCGTCCGTTTTTCTTTTCACTCGCAGAGAACATTCCATTTTAAAACTACTTATTAGGTTTTAGGGCTTATAGCTAAAGTAGTCTAATGGACTAAAAACTCGCAAATTAGGTTGTGATTATAAATTACAAAATGACCTAAGGTATCGATGTCTGTCTAAAAACTTTTTTACTTTTTACATTTGACTACGCGATTTCTTCTTTACACATTGTGTTGTCTGTAAACGAATCTACAGATTTATTATTATTTTTACTTTTGACAACATGATTTCTACCAGTTTCTAAACACAATTTAGCTCATATTTCTTCGTCTACAAATATTTTATCGATTACCTCGAATGGGCTCTCTTGTAGGCAACAAAAGGTTTGCCTACCCACGATTATTGATTGCGTTTATCCAATTATGACATAATAAAATTTAGTGATATAAGAAGGACGTGATAGTTGCAGATAGTGTTTGTGAAGAAGTATTTTTAAATAAAAAAAAAACACAAATAGTTATAAGTAGTATTAATTAAACGGACTTCCAGAAAAGGGAGGTTCTTGTTACTCGATTAAAAATCAAACGAATTTTTGAAATAAGTGAACTAATATTAGACTATACTTAAATGTATACTAACTATTATGTTGTAAAAATATGATTGTACAAGTGTCCATACATAATTTAACATTAGGTATTATTTGCCAAGTTAAGTTTAGTTTTAAATTAAGTGACCTTTAAGATATATAAGTATTTTCGTCTAGTTGTATGTTGTAGTAATAAATTTTTGTTCTATTGAGTTTAGGAGATATCGATTTTAAAAACTACACAACTAAAAATAAGGATCGCTTTTATTTTGAAGCAAAATGCAGATCCTTTCATAATATTTGAGTTCATTATAATTTCAAACATGTACACAGATTAAAAAAAAATACTTTATTCATAATTTCAAGACAGCTTCTTGGTTAACTTGTATGCTGACTACTGTTTTAATAGAAAATAAATAATTATATTTTTCTCTATCTCATGAGAAGATATCAGAATACTTCTCTTCTAAAGCATGAATGTCTAATCTATATAGATACCCTCGCGGGCTAATTAAATTTCTAACAAAAGCTGGAGGGTCAGAAAAATATATTTAGGTTGTCTAATGACGTTTAACATTGTATTCTTTACTCACAGACAAAATTTGTATACAAATCATACACTGAATTTTATTATTGTTGATAAGATGGTAAGGGTCGCATGCGGCCCGCGACCTTTGCTTGGCCAGCCCTGTTCTAAAGCATACCTCGTTCTATGCTTTTCTTTGACTTTTCATTTAAAATATACATCACAGTTACCAGTTAATAAAATAATATACAATAGGTTTTATTTACTTCTCTTTATGTACCATTTCACGAGCCTTATGAGAAAATAATATTTATAATTTATTTCTGAATAAAATTCTGAGATTATTATGTAAATAAAATTAAATTATGTACATGGTATTTCAACATTATTGGTGTTTTACGAAACAAACCAAAATTCTGACTATAAATATTTCAAATTGCTTTTAATAAAACCGTTGCACTATCAATGTCCACAATATCAATAAAATTTTACATTTTATTCTGTTAGTCCCATATAAACGTGAAAATTATTCGCCATTTATTGAATAAACGAATGTTACTAGGATTTAATTTGACAATTAGATATACCTACTACAATTATTATGTTGAAGATATAATAATATAATTCGTCTATATTGTAAAAATAAATAATTTTGATGAATAAATATATACTTAATATGTAATTTGACAATTAAAAATAAGTTTCAACCAATGGATGATTATTTTGAGTACAATGAATGAAAGCATAATATTTTTGATAATTCTTATTTTAATTAAAACTATGAATAAAAGTGATTGTGAAAAAAGGAAATGTGATATAATTAATGTTAACACTAGTTTTTAAGTAACACTAAACATAAAAATAATAAACATGGAATTTGAACTCTTATTTTGGTTTTTATTTGATTCAATTTGCTATTTCCTATTCTAGACTCTAAGGACCAAGTTTTGGTACAACAAGTATTCATTATGGCATCATTTGTGAGTGAGATTTACTTAACAACAATTATATATTTAGAAAATAAAAAATAACATTTTTATTTAAAAAATAAACTCATTTAGAACACCATACGTATGTATATGAATTATACCCGATAATGGTTACGAAATATCCTCACCCCTTATCCTCTTGTCTGTTGAAAGATGCGGCCATAATGTGTTTTATACCGGGAGCCGGTGTTTCGACAGATAAGAGGCTACTACACGGGACTCATAATCGTATAATTATCGTATATTTAAAGTCGTATAGTAAATCGTATATTTCACATCAGTAGTAAAGATTAAATATAATGTCACCGCTTCCTTAAGTAACTGTTTGACAAGGAAGTCGACTAGTTTCAAACTATAAGTACTAGACGCTCATATTCATGAGTAACACTCGGCGACAAACGTCGCGTCCTATCGCGAGTAAGCCAAAAACAAAATAATCAATTTACTTATCTCACTAAAGGTATAATATAAGCATGATGTATATAAAAGTGGTGTGTGTGTAAAATAAACGTAAACAAATACATTTTCAAAAACCGCGGGTTACTCACGTGAAACACTAAGAAAATCTCTACTAGTTTCGAAACACATCGGCTGCGCGACATCGCCGCGACCGCGCACGCTGCTCACGAGGAAGAACCCCTCTGTGGTTCGAAACTAGTAGAGCTTTTCTCAGTATATTCACGTGAGTAACCCGCGATTTTTAATTAATTTAGTATGTCTCACAATAGTTATTATAAAACAATACATTTTCAATCATTAAACGAAAGATGACTAACAACATATTCTAATCAAGACTTCTATAACATCTTAACTTTGTAACAAAATTAATAAGATACCAACGCAGACCAGCTGAGAGTTGCAGTTTGCAACCACATGTGCACACGGCTATACATCGAGCTTTACATAACCAGTATAAGCTGAACGTTAAATGTGCGGATAGATGATACGACGCGACACCAGGATAAACTGGTTTGCTATAAATTGATCTGTGGCCGTGTGTACTACATTCGTAATAATGCAAGTTCGTGTCGACCGTAGTTTCTTGCGGTATAGTAGGGAACTTTTGATTTCATATCAACGGATTGTTCAGAGCGGAGTAACTGAACTAGTTTATAAACTTAAGTTGGATCTAATAGTTACACATAGAAAGCTTAGACACTTTAGGTATTTTTGAGTGATGAAAATCATCAATTATTCCCGTCTTGAATTAGGTGTGGCCATGTACCTGCCACAATTTCAGGCTTCTATAAAATTACAGAGAAATTTTCAAAAACTTAAAACCTCCTGCAGTATACATATAGTTTGCCCGACTTCGGAAATAGTAACAAAAGAGTTGGTCAATTACACAAGTTTTTACTATTTATGTTATGAGTCCCATGTAATAGGGGGTGATATACCGTGCACAATTCCAGACTCCGTGCTATTACTGAGAATTTTTAAAAACCCAGTAATACTTTGCCCTACCCGGGAATCGAAGCCAAGACCCCTTGCCCGGTACTCGCACTTGCGATCACTGGGCCGACGACGCAGTCGGAATGATGTTTCATTTTAATATTCAAACTGCAATTACTACGAAAGTTTCTGTAGCCGTGACTCAACTAATGGTTCATATCCGAGATCCGACACATTTGCCATTAATTCGTAACTTACAACACATTGCATCTGCGCCACATTACATAAGACATTACATTAACACTAATTACATATTCGGTATTATCAACAATTTTATCTGTTATGTAAGTTGTCTAGACGAGAATCGATGTGTGGCTTTACTTTTCGTTTCATATTACTTGCATTAGTTACATTTTAAGGTTAATAATAGCGTGATTGTTGAAATTGGACTCCCTCGTTTGCCGAGTAGTCGCAAGTGCGACTGCCGGGCAAGGGGCCTTTTCGATTCCCGGGTCGGGCAAAATATTACTGGATTTTTAAAAAAATTTCTGGTAGTCTGGAATTGTGACCGGTATATGGCCATAGACTCAGCCCCTATTACATGGGACTTATAACATAAATAGTGAAAAGTGGGTGTTACATTGTACGCTGGTATAATGGACACCTCTGCCTACCCCTTCGGGGATAAAAGGCGTGATGTTATGTTACGTTACGAAACATCATGCCAATTTTTCATTGAAAAGTTTGTTTGGGCTCGCAATTGAACAATTATTACATTATCCACAAATTAATTCTCTTAAATAATAGTTGGGCACCTTTTTGAGGGTGAAAAATGATACAATTACATCTCCCGCCTCGAGTGAGGCGAAAGAGAGTGTCAGACTTATACTATGTACATTATATACCACTTTATTCCTACTGCGGCTTTAAGCACTGGCTCAAAAACTAAGATAATACACAAAATAGCTTGGTATAGAGCAAAGTTTAGTAAAACAAATAAAATAATATCATCATATTTACCTACTGAAGGATGTTTTACTGGCATTTAATGCAATTCAAGCCTCATTGTGTCCTTTGTACTCTTAAAAACCCAATAAAAGATTTTTGATGGGAGAATTTATTGCATGACTTGCATTTTTGCTATATTGTGAACTTTGAACTCTAAAAACCTGACATAAAATTGGATTTTCGATGGAAGAATTAATACCTTAACACAGATTATGGACTTTAAACTCTAAAAACCCAAAAGAAAAATGGATTTTTGAAATCAATCGAAAAACCCAGTAAAACCCAG